AAATATTTTTTTCATTAATCTAATATTCCAGTAAAGAATAAACTTTAAGTACTCCAATAAAGCCAAAAGGAAATTAGAAAAAAGGGGTCAAAAGGTGGACCTTTTCCAAAATATTATTTCTTTTTTATTTTTTATTTTACTTTTCATTGGAGGGAATTAAAGATTCTTAATCGGCAACTAGACACCAGCCCAACGTTGTCCTCGCTAGATGACTATGAATTTTTACAAATGCCCTTGATAATATCTCCCTTAACTGAACTTAATTAGCCTTTAAAAGGGAGCCCAATTTTGAAATTCAATCAACTATCCATCCCCACCAGAGAAATGCACAAAAGTCTCAATGCTCGACCATTTTCTTCTCATATTCCACCTATCATTGTTGCTTTTAATTTGGTGACTCATGGCTCATGCAACAGAGTAGTGTTTTTGGGCTCAACTCAGTGGTTGATCCATTTTGGTCATTAGGTTTGGTTTAACTAGTTGAATCGGTTTATTTGATTGGTCCAACTAATCAACTAAAAAAAACTTTTTGGTGGAGAGAAAGATGAGCAACTGATGCAAATCTGTTCTATTGTTACTGCTTTGTTCAATGAAGGCAATGTTTTAAAAACCAACTCAGAGGTCAAACTGTTTTGACCTTCCATTCTCGATTTGATTGATTTAACCAGTTAAATCATTCAAACCACTGGTTTAATTAATATAAATAAATATAATGTTATGTAGTGATTTAACATAACACATGCAATGGTTCTACTTGTTTGTCACCTCACCCATTGTGGTGGAAATGCACGTTTGAGTGTTCAAGTATGGTGGATAATTTATATAAAAAATTATAAATACTGACTTTAAATTAATTAATTAATTAATTAAAATAATCTATTTAAATCTCAATTTTTATAATTTTTTATATAAATTAATTATAAATACATGTAAAAATTTATATTACTATATTTCTAACTTATAATATATTAATAAGTTTTTTTACATATGTTAAGGGTGAAATAAATATATTTTTAATTAATAAGAAAATTGCATATCAATTCTAATTCTTTAAAAAATTGATATCTTAATTTTAAACTATATTGTTTTATTTGATTAAAATTTAATTTAAAATTTTAAAATATATTCTATTAAATATTGAAATTTAGATTTAGAAATTGATTGAAT